CTCCACTGAACAGCAGTCCAGTCGCTTCTTCGCCGTGTGCTTCTTGGGTTTTCTTTCGGTATGGCTTCCCCCGTTTGAGGGGGCTGGCACGCGGAGCGTCTCTGGCAAGCGGAAGCTTGGCGCTGGGGAGCCAAGGAAAGGGCCAGGAAGGGCCCTGCCGAGCCGGAGCCCCCAGGCGAAGGGGGCAGAAGACGAGGTGTGCGTGGGCACGCGGACGCGCTAGGGACAGGCTGAAGAGGACGCACGGGGCAGAGCGAAGGCCCTGGGCTGACCCAGGGATTGGGAGCGGCTTCCTCTAGAGGAAGGTGGGCTCTTCGGTGGCCCTTGGAGGAAGCCAAAGGAGGCAGGAGGCTCCCCGGAGCAGGCAGAGCGTTGCACAGGCGGGCAAGAAGTTGCACCGGGAAGTGCCAGAGCTGGGGACGAGCAGCGTGTGGCTCGCGCGGGAGTGGGACCCGGGCGTGGCGCGGCCCGCAGAGGAGAGCTTGAGAGAGCGCCGGGACCGCTGGCCCGGCACGCGGGGGCAGGCTCCGCGCTCCCTGCTGAGCGCTGCGCGCTGGGCCCTGGCCAGCCTAGATGGCGAGCTTGGGGTGCAGGCAGCATCGGCGTGTCTTGGGCCGGGGCCGGGGCCGGGGCAGTTTGGAAGAAGGGGCGGGCGGTCCGGCCAGCCCGTTGGTGTGTTGCGGGCCCGAGTGCCGGCTGCCGTCTGAATGGCCAGGCGCTGTTGGGGCGCGCGAGCGGGCGAGGCGTGTTGGGGTGGTCAGGGAGGGGGCGTGGTGTGTCCCCGGGCCGGGAGCGGACCGGAGAGGGACCCGGGCTTGCGGTGGCCTGGGGGAGGGATTGGCCCGGACAGCAGCGCAGAGCCCCGCGCGCAGGCAGGCGGCGCAAAAGCGTGCGCGGGCGGCGCGAGCTCTTGGGGCTGCCAGGAGAATGGCAGAGCGTCTACGGCCATACCACCCTGAACGCGCCCGATCTCGTCTGATCTCGGAAGCTTAAGCAGGGTCGGGCCTGGTTAGTACTTGGATGGGAGACCGCCTGGGAATACCGGGTGCTGTAGGCTTTTTCTTTTTTTTTGCCCACCCTTTTTTTCCTAGGGGTCCAGCCCCACGCCCGCCCGGACAGCTCCAGACCCTCTCTCGGCCGCCCTGGCAAGCGTGGTGCCCACGCCCACTTGCCACCAAGACCCTCCCCGCACGCTCTCCACTGAACAGCAGTCCAGTCGCTTCTTCGCCGTGTGCTTCTTGGGTTTTCTTTCGGTATGGCTTCCCCCGTTTGAGGGGGCTGGCACGCGGAGCGTCTCTGGCAAGCGGAAGCTTGGCGCTGGGGAGCCAAGGAAAGGGCCAGGAAGGGCCCTGCCGAGCCGGAGCCCCCAGGCGAAGGGGGCAGAAGACGAGGTGTGCGTGGGCACGCGGACGCGCTAGGGACAGGCTGAAGAGGACGCACGGGGCAGAGCGAAGGCCCTGGGCTGACCCAGGGATTGGGAGCGGCTTCCTCTAGAGGAAGGTGGGCTCTTCGGTGGCCCTTGGAGGAAGCCAAAGGAGGCAGGAGGCTCCCCGGAGCAGGCAGAGCGTTGCACAGGCGGGCAAGAAGTTGCACCGGGAAGTGCCCAGAGCTGGGGACGAGCAGCGTGTGGCTCGCGCGGGAGTGGGACCCGGGCGTGGCGCGGCCCGCAGAGGAGAGCTTGAGAGAGCGCCGGGACCGCTGGCCCGGCACGCGGGGGCAGGCTCCGCGCTCCCTGCTGAGCGCTGCGCGCTGGGCCCTGGCCAGCCTAGATGGCGAGCTTGGGGTGCAGGCAGCATCGGCGTGTCTTGGGCCGGGGCCGGGGCCGGGGCAGTTTGGAAGAAGGGGCGGGCGGTCCGGCCAGCCCGTTGGTGTGTTGCGGGCCCGAGTGCCGGCTGCCGTCTGAATGGCCAGGCGCTGTTGGGGCGCGCGAGCGGGCGAGGCGTGTTGGGGTGGTCAGGGAGGGGGGCGTGGTGTGTCCCCGGGCCGGGAGCGGACCGGAGAGGGACCCGGGCTTGCGGTGGCCTGGGGGAGGGATTGGCCCGGACAGCAGCGCAGAGCCCCGCGCGCAGGCAGGCGGCGCAAAAGCGTGCGCGGGCGGCGCGAGCTCTTGGGGCTGCCAGGAGAATGGCAGAGCGTCTACGGCCATACCACCCTGAACGCGCCCGATCTCGTCTGATCTCGGAAGCTAAGCAGGGTCGGGCCTGGTTAGTACTTGGATGGGAGACCGCCTGGGAATACCGGGTGCTGTAGGCTTTTTCTTTTTTTTTGCCCACCCTTTTTTTCCTAGGGGTCCAGCCCCACGCCCGCCCGGACAGCTCCAGACCCTCTCTCGGCCGCCCTGGCAAGCGTGGTGCCCACGCCCACTTGCCACCAAGACCCTCCCCGCACGCTCTCCACTGAACAGCAGTCCAGTCGCTTCTTCGCCGTGTGCTTCTTGGGTTTTCTTTCGGTATGGCTTCCCCCGTTTGAGGGGGCTGGCACGCGGAGCGTCTCTGGCAAGCGGAAGCTTGGCGCTGGGGAGCCAAGGAAAGGGCCAGGAAGGGCCCTGCCGAGCCGGAGCCCCCAGGCGAAGGGGGCAGAAGACGAGGTGTGCGTGGGCACGCGGACGCGCTAGGGACAGGCTGAAGAGGACGCACGGGGCAGAGCGAAGGCCCTGGGCTGACCCAGGGATTGGGAGCGGCTTCCTCTAGAGGAAGGTGGGCTCTTCGGTGGCCCTTGGAGGAAGCCAAAGGAGGCAGGAGGCTCCCCGGAGCAGGCAGAGCGTTGCACAGGCGGGCAAGAAGTTGCACCGGGAAGTGCCAGAGCTGGGGACGAGCAGCGTGTGGCTCGCGCGGGAGTGGGACCCGGGCGTGGCGCGGCCCGCAGAGGAGAGCTTGAGAGAGCGCCGGGACCGCTGGCCCGGCACGCGGGGGCAGGCTCCGCGCTCCCTGCTGAGCGCTGCGCGCTGGGCCCTGGCCAGCCTAGATGGCGAGCTTGGGTGCAGGCAGCATCGGCGTGTCTTGGGCCGGGGCCGGGGCCGGGGCAGTTTGGAAGAAGGGGCGGGCGGTCCGGCCAGCCCGTTGGTGTGTTGCGGGCCCGAGTGCCGGCTGCCGTCTGAATGGCCAGGCGCTGTTGGGGCGCGCGAGCGGGCGAGGCGTGTTGGGGTGGTCAGGGAGGGGGGCGTGGTGTGTCCCCGGGCCGGGAGCGGACCGGAGAGGGACCCGGGCTTGCGGTGGCCTGGGGGAGGGATTGGCCCGGACAGCAGCGCAGAGCCCCGCGCGCAGGCAGGCGGCGCAAAAGCGTGCGCGGGCGGCGCGAGCTCTTGGGGCTGCCAGGAGAATGGCAGAGCGTCTACGGCCATACCACCCTGAACGCGCCCGATCTCGTCTGATCTCGGAAGCTAAGCAGGGTCGGGCCTGGTTAGTACTTGGATGGGAGACCGCCTGGGAATACCGGGTGCTGTAGGCTTTTTCTTTTTTTTTGCCCACCCTTTTTTTCCTAGGGGTCCAGCCCCACGCCCGCCCGGACAGCTCCAGACCCTCTCTCGGCCGCCCTGGCAAGCGTGGTGCCCACGCCCACTTGCCACCAAGACCCTCCCCGCACGCTCTCCACTGAACAGCAGTCCAGTCGCTTCTTCGCCGTGTGCTTCTTGGGTTTTCTTTCGGTATGGCTTCCCCCGTTTGAGGGGGCTGGCACGCGGAGCGTCTCTGGCAAGCGGAAGCTTGGCGCTGGGGAGCCAAGGAAAGGGCCAGGAAGGGCCCTGCCGAGCCGGAGCCCCCAGGCGAAGGGGGCAGAAGACGAGGTGTGCGTGGGCACGCGGACGCGCTAGGGACAGGCTGAAGAGGACGCACGGGGCAGAGCGAAGGCCCTGGGCTGACCCAGGGATTGGGAGCGGCTTCCTCTAGAGGAAGGTGGGCTCTTCGGTGGCCCTTGGAGGAAGCCAAAGGAGGCAGGAGGCTCCCCGGAGCAGGCAGAGCGTTGCACAGGCGGGCAAGAAGTTGCACCGGGAAGTGCCCAGAGCTGGGGACGAGCAGCGTGTGGCTCGCGCGGGAGTGGGACCCGGGCGTGGCGCGGCCCGCAGAGGAGAGCTTGAGAGAGCGCCGGGACCGCTGGCCCGGCACGCGGGGGCAGGCTCCGCGCTCCCTGCTGAGCGCTGCGCGCTGGGCCCTGGCCAGCCTAGATGGCGAGCTTGGGGTGCAGGCAGCATCGGCGTGTCTTGGGCCGGGGCCGGGGCCGGGGCAGTTTGGAAGAAGGGGCGGGCGGTCCGGCCAGCCCGTTGGTGTGTTGCGGGCCCGAGTGCCGGCTGCCGTCTGAATGGCCAGGCGCTGTTGGGGCGCGCGAGCGGGCGAGGCGTGTTGGGGTGGTCAGGGAGGGGGGCGTGGTGTGTCCCCGGGCCGGGAGCGGACCGGAGAGGGACCCGGGCTTGCGGTGGCCTGGGGGAGGGATTGGCCCGGACAGCAGCGCAGAGCCCCGCGCGCAGGCAGGCGGCGCAAAAGCGTGCGCGGGCGGCGCGAGCTCTTGGGGCTGCCAGGAGAATGGCAGAGCGTCTACGGCCATACCACCCTGAACGCGCCCGATCTCGTCTGATCTCGGAAGCTAAGCAGGGTCGGGCCTGGTTAGTACTTGGATGGGAGACCGCCTGGGAATACCGGGTGCTGTAGGCTTTTTCTTTTTTTTTGCCCACCCTTTTTTTCCTAGGGGTCCAGCCCCACGCCCGCCCGGACAGCTCCAGACCCTCTCTCGGCCGCCCTGGCAAGCGTGGTGCCCACGCCCACTTGCCACCAAGACCCTCCCCGCACGCTCTCCACTGAACAGCAGTCCAGTCGCTTCTTCGCCGTGTGCTTCTTGGGTTTTCTTTCGGTATGGCTTCCCCCGTTTGAGGGGGCTGGCACGCGGAGCGTCTCTGGCAAGCGGAAGCTTGGCGCTGGGGAGCCAAGGAAAGGGCCAGGAAGGGCCCTGCCGAGCCGGAGCCCCCAGGCGAAGGGGGCAGAAGACGAGGTGTGCGTGGGCACGCGGACGCGCTAGGGACAGGCTGAAGAGGACGCACGGGGCAGAGCGAAGGCCCTGGGCTGACCCAGGGATTGGGAGCGGCTTCCTCTAGAGGAAGGTGGGCTCTTCGGTGGCCCTTGGAGGAAGCCAAAGGAGGCAGGAGGCTCCCCGGAGCAGGCAGAGCGTTGCACAGGCGGGCAAGAAGTTGCACCGGGAAGTGCCAGAGCTGGGGACGAGCAGCGTGTGGCTCGCGCGGGAGTGGGACCCGGGCGTGGCGCGGCCCGCAGAGGAGAGCTTGAGAGAGCGCCGGGACCGCTGGCCCGGCACGCGGGGGCAGGCTCCGCGCTCCCTGCTGAGCGCTGCGCGCTGGGCCCTGGCCAGCCTAGATGGCGAGCTTGGGGTGCAGGCAGCATCGGCGTGTCTTGGGCCGGGGCCGGGGCCGGGGCAGTTTGGAAGAAGGGGCGGGCGGTCCGGCCAGCCCGTTGGTGTGTTGCGGGCCCGAGTGCCGGCTGCCGTCTGAATGGCCAGGCGCTGTTGGGGCGCGCGAGCGGGCGAGGCGTGTTGGGGTGGTCAGGGAGGGGGCGTGGTGTGTCCCCGGGCCGGGAGCGGACCGGAGAGGGACCCGGGCTTGCGGTGGCCTGGGGGAGGGATTGGCCCGGACAGCAGCGCAGAGCCCCGCGCGCAGGCAGGCGGCGCAAAAGCGTGCGCGGGCGGCGCGAGCTCTTGGGGCTGCCAGGAGAATGGCAGAGCGTCTACGGCCATACCACCCTGAACGCGCCCGATCTCGTCTGATCTCGGAAGCTAAGCAGGGTCGGGCCTGGTTAGTACTTGGATGGGAGACCGCCTGGGAATACCGGGTGCTGTAGGCTTTTTCTTTTTTTTTGCCCACCCTTTTTTTCCTAGGGGTCCAGCCCCACGCCCGCCCGGACAGCTCCAGACCCTCTCTCGGCCGCCCTGGCAAGCGTGGTGCCCACGCCCACTTGCCACCAAGACCCTCCCCGCACGCTCTCCACTGAACAGCAGTCCAGTCGCTTCTTCGCCGTGTGCTTCTTGGGTTTTCTTTCGGTATGGCTTCCCCCGTTTGAGGGGGCTGGCACGCGGAGCGTCTCTGGCAAGCGGAAGCTTGGCGCTGGGGAGCCAAGGAAAGGGCCAGGAAGGGCCCTGCCGAGCCGGAGCCCCCAGGCGAAGGGGCAGAAGACGAGGTGTGCGTGGGCACGCGGACGCGCTAGGGACAGGCTGAAGAGGACGCACGGGGCAGAGCGAAGGCCCTGGGCTGACCCAGGGATTGGGAGCGGCTTCCTCTAGAGGAAGGTGGGCTGTTCGGTGGCCCTTGGAGGAAGCCAAAGGAGGCAGGAGGCTCCCCGGAGCAGGCAGAGCGTTGCACAGGCGGGCAAGAAGTTGCACCGGGAAGTGCCCAGAGCTGGGGACGAGCAGCGTGTTGGCTCGCGCGGGAGTGGGACCCGGGCGTGGCGCGGCCCGCAGAGGAGAGCTTGAGAGAGCGCCGGGACCGCTGGCCCGGCACGCGGGGGCAGGCTCCGCGCTCCCTGCTGAGCGCTGCGCGCTGGGCCCTGGCCAGCCTAGATGGCGAGCTTGGGGTGCAGGCAGCATCGGCGTGTCTTGGGCCGGGGCCGGGGCCGGGGCAGTTTGGAAGAAGGGGCGGGCGGTCCGGCCAGCCCGTTGGTGTGTTGCGGGCCCGAGTGCCGGCTGCCGTCTGAATGGCCAGGCGCTGTTGGGGCGCGCGAGCGGGCGAGGCGTGTTGGGGTGGTCAGGGAGGGGGGCGTGGTGTGTCCCCGGCCGGGAGCGGACCGGAGAGGGACCCGGGCTTGCGGTGGCCTGGGGGAGGGATTGGCCGGACAGCAGCGCAGAGCCCGCGCGCAGGCAGGCGGCGCAAAAGCGTGCGCGGGCGGCGCGAGCTCTTGGGGCTGCCAGGAGAATGGCAGAGCGTCTACGGCCATACCACCCTGAACGCGCCCGATCTCGTCTGATCTCGGAAGCTTAAGCAGGGTCGGGCCTGGTTAGTACTTGTTGGGAGACCGCCTGGGAATACCGGGTGCTGTAGGCTTTTTCTTTTTTTTTGCCCACCCTTTTTTTCCTAGGGGTCCAGCCCCACGCCCGCCCGGACAGCTCCAGACCCTCTCTCGGCCGCCCTGGCAAGCGTGGTGCCCACGCCCACTTGCCACCAAGACCCTCCCCGCACGCTCTCCACTGAACAGCAGTCCAGTCGCTTCTTCGCCGTGTGCTTCTTGGGTTTTCTTTCGGTATGGCTTCCCCCGTTTGAGGGGGCTGGCACGCGGAGCGTCTCTGGCAAGCGGAAGCTTGGCGCTGGGGAGCCAAGGAAAGGGCCAGGAAGGGCCCTGCCGAGCCGGAGCCCCCAGGCGAAGGGGGCAGAAGACGAGGTGTGCGTGGGCACGCGGACGCGCTAGGGACAGGCTGAAGAGGACGCACGGGGCAGAGCGTGTCTTGGGCCGGGGCCGGGGCCGGGGCAGTTTGGAAGAAGGGGCGGGCGGTCCGGCCAGCCCGTTGGTGTGTTGCGGGCCCGAGTGCCGGCTGCCGTCTGAATGGCCAGGCGCTGTTGGGGCGCGCGAGCGGGCGAGGCGTGTTGGGGTGGTCAGGGAGGGGGGCGTGGTGTGTCCCCGGGCCGGGAGCGGACCGGAGAGGGACCCGGGCTTGCGGTGGCCTGGGGGAGGGATTGGCCCGGACAGCAGCGCAGAGCCCCGCGCGCAGGCAGGCGGCGCAAAAGCGTGCGCGGGCGGCGCGAGCTCTTGGGGCTGCCAGGAGAATGGCAGAGCGTCTACGGCCATACCACCCTGAACGCGCCCGATCTCGTCTGATCTCGGAAGCTAAGCAGGGTCGGGCCTGGTTAGTACTTGGATGGGAGACCGCCTGGGAATACCGGGTGCTGTAGGCTTTTTTCTTTTTTTTTGCCCACCCTTTTTTTCCTAGGGGTCCAGCCCCACGCCCGCCCGGACAGCTCCAGACCCTCTCTCGGCCGCCCTGGCAAGCGTGGTGCCCACGCCCACTTGCCACCAAGACCCTCCCCGCACGCTCTCCACTGAACAGCAGTCCAGTCGCTTCTTCGCCGTGTGCTTCTTGGGTTTTCTTTCGGTATGGCTTCCCCCGTTTGAGGGGGCTGGCACGCGGAGCGTCTCTGGCAAGCGGAAGCTTGGCGCTGGGGAGCCAAGGAAAGGGCCAGGAAGGGCCCTGCCGAGCCGGAGCCCCCAGGCGAAGGGGGCAGAAGACGAGGTGTGCGTGGGCACGCGGACGCGCTAGGGACAGGCTGAAGAGGACGCACGGGGCAGAGCGAAGGCCCTGGGCTGACCCAGGGATTGGGAGCGGCTTCCTCTAGAGGAAGGTGGGCTCTTCGGTGGCCCTTGGAGGAAGCCAAAGGAGGCAGGAGGCTCCCCGGAGCAGGCAGAGCGTTGCACAGGCGGGCAAGAAGTTGCACCGGGAAGTGGCCAGAGCTGGGGACGAGCAGCGTGTGGCTCGCGCGGGAGTGGGACCCGGGCGTGGCGCGGCCCGCAGAGGAGAGCTTGAGAGAGCGCCGGGACCGCTGGCCCGGCACGCGGGGGCAGGCTCCGCGCTCCCTGCTGAGCGCTGCGCGCTGGGCCCTGGCCAGCCTAGATGGCGAGCTTGGGTGCAGGCAGCATCGGCGTGTCTTGGGCCGGGGCCGGGGCCGGGGCAGTTTGGAAGAAGGGGCGGGCGGTCCGGCCAGCCCGTTGGTGTGTTGCGGGCCCGAGTGCCGGCTGCCGTCTGAATGGCCAGGCGCTGTTGGGGCGCGCGAGCGGGCGAGGCGTGTTGGGGTGGTCAGGGAGGGGGGCGTGGTGTGTCCCCGGGCCGGGAGCGGACCGGAGAGGGACCCGGGCTTGCGGTGGCCTGGGGGAGGGATTGGCCCGGACAGCAGCGCAGAGCCCCGCGCGCAGGCAGGCGGCGCAAAAGCGTGCGCGGGCGGCGCGAGCTCTTGGGGCTGCCAGGAGAATGGCAGAGCGTCTACGGCCATACCACCCTGAACGCGCCCGATCTCGTCTGATCTCGGAAGCTAAGCAGGGTCGGGCCTGGTTAGTACTTGGATGGGAGACCGCCTGGGAATACCGGGTGCTGTAGGCTTTTTCTTTTTTTTTGCCCACCCTTTTTTTCCTAGGGGTCCAGCCCCACGCCCGCCCGGACAGCTCCAGACCCTCTCTCGGCCGCCCTGGCAAGCGTGGTGCCCACGCCCACTTGCCACCAAGACCCTCCCCGCACGCTCTCCACTGAACAGCAGTCCAGTCGCTTCTTCGCCGTGTGCTTCTTGGGTTTTCTTTCGGTATGGCTTCCCCCGTTTGAGGGGGCTGGCACGCGGAGCGTCTCTGGCAAGCGGAAGCTTGGCGCTGGGGAGCCAAGGAAAGGGCCAGGAAGGGCCCTGCCGAGCCGGAGCCCCCAGGCGAAGGGGGCAGAAGACGAGGTGTGCGTGGGCACGCGGACGCGCTAGGGACAGGCTGAAGAGGACGCACGGGGCAGAGCGTGTCTTGGGCCGGGGCCGGGGCCGGGCAGTTTGGAAGAAGGGGCGGGCGGTCCGGCCAGCCCGTTGGTGTGTTGCGGGCCCGAGTGCCGGCTGCCGTCTGAATGGCCAGGCGCTGTTGGGGCGCGCGAGCGGGCGAGGCGTGTTGGGGTGGTCAGGGAGGGGGGCGTGGTGTGTCCCCGGGCCGGGAGCGGACCGGAGAGGGACCCGGGCTTGCGGTGGCCTGGGGGAGGGATTGGCCCGGACAGCAGCGCAGAGCCCCGCGCGCAGGCAGGCGGCGCAAAAGCGTGCGCGGGCGGCGCGAGCTCTTGGGGCTGCCAGGAGAATGGCAGAGCGTCTACGGCCATACCACCCTGAACGCGCCCGATCTCGTCTGATCTCGGAAGCTAAGCAGGGTCGGGCCTGGTTAGTACTTGGATGGGAGACCGCCTGGGAATACCGGGTGCTGTAGGCTTTTTCTTTTTTTTTGCCCACCCTTTTTTTCCTAGGGGTCCAGCCCCACGCCCGCCCGGACAGCTCCAGACCCTCTCTCGGCCGCCCTGGCAAGCGTGGTGCCCACGCCCACTTGCCACCAAGACCCTCCCCGCACGCTCTCCACTGAACAGCAGTCCAGTCGCTTCTTCGCCGTGTGCTTCTTGGGTTTTCTTTCGGTATGGCTTCCCCCGTTTGAGGGGGCTGGCACGCGGAGCGTCTCTGGCAAGCGGAAGCTTGGCGCTGGGGAGCCAAGGAAAGGGCCAGGAAGGGCCCTGCCGAGCCGGAGCCCCCAGGCGAAGGGGGCAGAAGACGAGGTGTGCGTGGGCACGCGGACGCGCTAGGGACAGGCTGAAGAGGACGCACGGGGCAGAGCGAAGGCCCTGGGCTGACCCAGGGATTGGGAGCGGCTTCCTCTAGAGGAAGGTGGGCTCTTCGGTGGCCCTTGGAGGAAGCCAAAGGAGGCAGGAGGCTCCCCGGAGCAGGCAGAGCGTTGCACAGGCGGGCAAGAAGTTGCACCGGGAAGTGCCAGAGCTGGGACGAGCAGCGTGTGGCTCGCGCGGGAGTGGGACCCGGGCGTGGCGCGGCCCGCAGAGGAGAGCTTGAGAGAGCGCCGGGACCGCTGGCCCGGCACGCGGGGGCAGGCTCCGCGCTCCCTGCTGAGCGCTGCGCGCTGGGCCCTGGCCAGCCTAGATGGCGAGCTTGGGGTGCAGGCAGCATCGGCGTGTCTTGGGCCGGGGCCGGGGCCGGGGCAGTTTGGAAGAAGGGGCGGGCGGTCCGGCCAGCCCGTTGGTGTGTTGCGGGCCCGAGTGCCGGCTGCCGTCTGAATGGCCAGGCGCTGTTGGGGCGCGCGAGCGGGCGAGGCGTGTTGGGGTGGTCAGGGAGGGGGCGTGGTGTGTCCCCGGGCCGGGAGCGGACCGGAGAGGGACCCGGGCTTGCGGTGGCCTGGGGAGGGATTGGCCCGGACAGCAGCGCAGAGCCCCGCGCGCAGGCAGGCGGCGCAAAAGCGTGCGCGGGCGGCGCGAGCTCTTGGGGCTGCCAGGAGAATGGCAGAGCGTCTACGGCCATACCACCCTGAACGCGCCCGATCTCGTCTGATCTCGGAAGCTAAGCAGGGTCGGGCCTGGTTAGTACTTGGATGGGAGACCGCCTGGGAATACCGGGTGCTGTAGGCTTTTTCTTTTTTTTTGCCCACCCTTTTTTTCCTAGGGGTCCAGCCCCACGCCCGCCCGGACAGCTCCAGACCCTCTCTCGGCCGCCCTGGCAAGCGTGGTGCCCACGCCCACTTGCCACCAAGACCCTCCCCGCACGCTCTCCACTGAACAGCAGTCCAGTCGCTTCTTCGCCGTGTGCTTCTTGGGTTTTCTTTCGGTATGGCTTCCCCCGTTTGAGGGGGCTGGCACGCGGAGCGTCTCTGGCAAGCGGAAGCTTGGCGCTGGGGAGCCAAGGAAAGGGCCAGGAAGGGCCCTGCCGAGCCGGAGCCCCCAGGCGAAGGGGGCAGAAGACGAGGTGTGCGTGGGCACGCGGACGCGCTAGGGACAGGCTGAAGAGGACGCACGGGGCAGAGCGAAGGCCCTGGGCTGACCCAGGGATTGGGAGCGGCTTCCTCTAGAGGAAGGTGGGCTCTTCGGTGGCCCTTGGAGGAAGCCAAAGGAGGCAGGAGGCTCCCCGGAGCAGGCAGAGCGTTGCACAGGCGGGCAAGAAGTTGCACCGGGAAGTGCCAGAGCTGGGGACGAGCAGCGTGTGGCTCGCGCGGGAGTGGGACCCGGGCGTGGCGCGGCCCGCAGAGGAGAGCTTGAGAGAGCGCCGGGACCGCTGGCCCGGCACGCGGGGGCAGGCTCCGCGCTCCCTGCTGAGCGCTGCGCGCTGGGCCCTGGCCAGCCTAGATGGCGAGCTTGGGGTGCAGGCAGCATCGGCGTGTCTTGGGCCGGGGCCGGGGCCGGGGCAGTTTGGAAGAAGGGGCGGGCGGTCCGGCCAGCCCGTTGGTGTGTTGCGGGCCCGAGTGCCGGCTGCCGTCTGAATGGCCAGGCGCTGTTGGGGCGCGCGAGCGGGCGAGGCGTGTTGGGGTGGTCAGGGAGGGGGGCGTGGTGTGTCCCCGGGCCGGGAGCGGACCGGAGAGGGACCCGGGCTTGCGGTGGCCTGGGGGAGGGATTGGCCCGGACAGCAGCGCAGAGCCCCGCGCGCAGGCAGGCGGCGCAAAAGCGTGCGCGGGCGGCGCGAGCTCTTGGGGCTGCCAGGAGAATGGCAGAGCGTCTACGGCCATACCACCCTGAACGCGCCCGATCTCGTCTGATCTCGGAAGCTAAGCAGGGTCGGGCCTGGTTAGTACTTGGATGGGAGACCGCCTGGGAATACCGGGTGCTGTAGGCTTTTTCTTTTTTTTTGCCCACCCTTTTTTTCCTAGGGGTCCAGCCCCACGCCCGCCCGGACAGCTCCAGACCCTCTCTCGGCCGCCCTGGCAAGCGTGGTGCCCACGCCCACTTGCCACCAAGACCCTCCCCGCACGCTCTCCACTGAACAGCAGTCCAGTCGCTTCTTCGCCGTGTGCTTCTTGGGTTTTCTTTCGGTATGGCTTCCCCCGTTTGAGGGGGCTGGCACGCGGAGCGTCTCTGGCAAGCGGAAGCTTGGCGCTGGGGAGCCAAGGAAAGGGCCAGGAAGGGCCCTGCCGAGCCGGAGCCCCCAGGCGAAGGGGGCAGAAGACGAGGTGTGCGTGGGCACGCGGACGCGCTAGGGACAGGCTGAAGAGGACGCACGGGGCAGAGCGAAGGCCCTGGGCTGACCCAGGGATTGGGAGCGGCTTCCTCTAGAGGAAGGTGGGCTCTTCGGTGGCCCTTG